GATAGTCATAATCTCACCTACAAACAACAATATAACAATACTGTAATATTGGTGGATAGTCATAATCTCACCTACAAACAACAATACAACAATACTGTAATATTGATAGATAGTCATAATCTCACCTACAAACAACAATATAACAATATTGTAATATTGGTGGATAGTCATAATCTCACCTACAAAAAACAATATAACAATACTGTAATATTGGTGGATAGTCAAAATCTCACCTACCAACAATAATACAACAATACTGTAATATTGGTGGCTAGTCATAATCTCACCTACAAACAACAATACAACAATACTGTAATATTGATAGATAGTCATAATCTCACCTACAAACAACAACATAACAATACTGTAATATTGGTGGATAGACATAACCTCACCTACAAACAACAATATAACAATACTGTAATATTGGTGGATATTCTTAATCTCACCTTCAAACAACAATATAACAATACTGTAATATTGGTGGATAGTCATAATCTCACCTACAAACAACAATATAACAATACTGTAATATTGGTGGATATTCTTAATCTCACCTTCAAACAACAATATAACAATACTGTAATATTGGTGGATATTCTTAATCTCACCTTCAAACAACAATATAACAATACTATAATATTGGTGGATAGTCATAATCTCACCTACAAACAACAATACAACAATGCTGTAACATTGGTGGATAGACATAATCTCACCTACAAACAACAATATAACAATTTAACCATACGTTTACCTACAAATAAAAACATCTATAGAACAAACCAACACTTAATCAATTTAACCATACGTTTACCTACAAAGAACAACATCTATATGACAAACCAACACTTAATCAATGTAACCATACATGTATCTTCAAAGAACAACATCTATATGACAAACCAACACTTAATCAACTTAACCATACGCTGACCTACAAAGAACAACATCTAAATGACAAACCAACACTTAATCAATTTAACGATACGTTTACCTACAAAGAACAACATCTAAATGACAAACCAACACTTAATCAATGTAACCATACATGTATCTTTAAAGAACAACATCTATATGCCAAACCAACACTTAATCAACTTAACCATACGTTTACCTAAACAAAACAACATCTATCTGACAAACCAACACCTAATCAATTTAACCATACGTTTATCTACAAAGAACAACATCTCTATGACAAACCAACACTTAATCAATGTAACCATACGTTTATCTTCAAAGAACAACATCTATATGACAAACCAACACCTAATCAATTTAACAATGCGTTTACTTAATCAATTTAACCATACGTTTAGCAACAACAAACAATATCTATATGACAAACCAATACCTAATCAATTTAACCATACGTTTACCAACAACAAACAATATCTATATGACAAACCAACACTCAATCAATTTATCCATACGTTTACCTACAAAGAACAACATCTATAGGACTACCCAACACTTCCTCAATATAACCAAACATTTACCTACAAAGAACAACATCAATATTCCAAACCAACACTTAATCAATTTAACCATACGTTTACCTACAAAGAACAACATCTATATGACAAACCCACACTTAATCAATGTAACCATACGTTTACAAACAACAAACAACATCTATATGACAAACCCACACTTAATCAATTTAACCAT